GATTCTTCCACTTAGCAATTTCATTGCGCAAGGGGAGATGCGGCTGCGCGTATAGGACAAATCAATGGTCACCTTCGTTGCGGCAGATCTCGTCATGCACTGCGACCAATAGTCCCGTCGACTACTCCACCGCAGTGCTTGTAAAATTTAGCTTGTTCAAGGAATTGATTGTATTTGATGGTAAGAAAACTGCTGAAATCTTACGTCACAGTAGCCGGTCTCCGTTGCAGCTTTTCCGTGATCATTATCGCTCGATAAACTATGGTGAGGATTGTAGCCAAAGCATTCCTAATGATTGATGGGAAAAATTTACTCTAGGTGGCTAGAAGGAAAGGACTATCGTTGGAGGAAAAACGCGCAAAAATGTTAGAGCTGTTCTATGAAACGCAGGAGTTCTATCAGATGAAAGAACTAGAGAAGATAATTGGCGTTACAATCATATCAATTTTTCATTCTGAAAAATTGTTTCAGATAGTACCGAAGAAGAAAGGTGTCATATCACAATCTGTGAAGGAGGTAACTCAGTCTTTAGTGGACGATGGTTTAGTAGAATGCGAGAAGATTGGCACATTTGTTTGTTATTGGGCCTTTCCTTCAAAAGTTTTACAAGTGGTAACCAGATATCTTGTGTTGCTCTAATTTTTTGTGAACCTGTACTGTGATCTTCAAGAAGAAGCGGCTAGTAGAAAATTTGGAGGCTTCGATTCGTGATCTTGATGCGAAGGTCAAGAAGGCCAAGTGGGAAGTACAGAACCAACGAAAAGAAAAAGTGGTGAGTTTATTTGATAGAATGTCTCAAACATGCGCTTGACTATCTTTTTTACTGCGTAGGACTGTAAAACTCACACCGGACTTATAACCATCATCACGAAACTAGAGGAAAAAGAGAAAGACCTACGTAAGCTTCTCGATAAATACGCTTTGTGTAATCTCGAGGTTATTAACCAAGTAAGATCACGGATTCGGAAAGCAAGCGAGGATGCAAATCGATGGACAGGTATGGTAACTACTTTTGTGTCGTATAAGGTTAGAAGCCAAATTTTTAGATAATATATTTACTATAAAAAAATGGTGCAAGTCGAAGTTTGCGATGGATGAACAACACCTTGATAAGCAGTTCGAGATTCCAGAAGTTCTCAATTATTTTGAATGAATTATTCAAATGAAATACTATATGCTTTTATACGCTTCGGAAGTTTTTCACACATTTGTTACAGTTATGTGCGTTAATTAAAATTTATTGGGTTTTTTCTACACTCTTCCGTCGCTGAATATTTAAAGTGAACTTGTTTTGTGAATGTTGTGTCGCGGCAATCCTGTATATTACTGCTACGTTCCTTTTTTGCGAATGTTTGTTGAATTTTCCTGTCAATGAAGTGTTCTAATGTACACTGCCCTTTGGCCATCGTGTTGTGTGCACTTATATTTTATTTTGCAAATTATAGTTGTAACCATCGACTCCATTTAGCCTCCACATC